AATGTTATTTTAGGTTTCAATTTGGTACCCACAAAAAAACTTAAGGTGATGTTGACGTGTCTCCATAAGGTAATACCACATAATTATTAAAGAAATAAAAAAAACTACCACGTCAGTAGTTCTGTTAATTTTTTAACGACGAGTACCAAATTGAAACCTAAACTAAACATTAGGTATAGTTTTGAAAAATAAATAAAATTTAGGTACCAAAATAGAATAAAAGTAATAGTTTAAGTACTATGTAGTTTTCTCTACTATTTATTGGGTGGCACCAGGTGGCGTTAGGGATGGTCAAAATATTAGAACCCGATAACTCCCGACCTTATAAGGGCGATTTCTTTTTTAAATTTCGAGTTCAGGAAAGGGCTAGTTATATAATGTTAAAGTCGGGGTTGGGATGATGTCGGGTTTAAGGTGAAAAATCACCATTCTAACCTGATCTGATATAAATTACAAAATTACTACTTTATATATTTAAGATTTTAAATATTTTCTTTTTTATGGTGTTAAAATATGATTTTTAAATCGTTAAAAATGTAATAATTTATTATAAAATATATTATTTTAATTATTTAAAAAAATGTTATTATAAAATATATTATTTTTATTATTTTAAAGTATTAATATATTCAAACCGGATTAGATTAAGGTCAGGATTTTGATTTAGAAATCGGGACGTTTTCTGAAAGGAAAAAAAAAAAGACTAGTATAATCTTCACAACGTGACGGAATCGGATGGAAACAATACATTTTCGGCTCGTGGTCGAGGCGGAAAAAAAACTGGCTCACCCCGCCTCGTGCATATCCCTTCATTGGTTGGTGGTATGAGTCACGTCTCCTCCTTGGTTTAGTAAAATTCTCTTATAGCACTTAAAGTTATAAGATTTTAATAAATAAAATGGAAAAATTTCCCTTTGGCCATTGGTCCTTGAAAAATCATCTTTTGGTTATTAAATTGTAAAACTATTATTTGACCCTCTTAAAAATTACAATCCAATCTCGGCCTTCTCGATAAACATTCTCTGGTTTCACTCCTATTTCCTTCAAAATTAAATGCACATAAACTAGATGGCTGACTTTTATGATAAAAAGATGAATTTAATCCATGCACGTATAGTACAAGGATGAAACAAGTAATTAAACCGAAAGAAACAACAATTAGAGTGGGAAAACACTTTCGTGTGGAAGACACGAAATGGGCACGCCTAAATGGAATAAACAAAGAGGATTTGATTTGAATGTGGTGCGGAAACCATATATTATATTCCCATGCATTCCAGCTCATGATATGAAAGCTGTCGTGCTCCTCTACTCACCCACCCACATCCTTTTTTTCTTAAACAAAATATCCTTATAAATAATTATTTTATATGTACACTATGTATAAAGCATATAAGCGATGTTGATTAACGTTACAACATATATAACATATATTATATTGTCAATATCAAAATGAACATTTTCCCCAAGTGTTGTCATATGCATTAATGCCCCCATAGCTGCATGCTTTTGCCAAATATTCAAAGAAAATTAAAAAGATAGAACCCTATAGTGAAAAAATGTGTATTTTAAATAGATTATATCATATACTAATGAAAATGTTGCCAACCAGTGATATATATATATATATATATATATATATTCACGTACACGCCTCTAGACTTCATCAAGCGGAGGATGTAGAAATACTTTTGCGTAAATTATTCAAATAATTATTAATGTTTGAGTAAATTTTCATATCTCTATTAAAGTTTCAAAAGTAACATATTGGTCATTGACATTACCTATTTATAACAAATTGATCACTCACTGTTAATAATTATTACTGCAGTAACGAAATACTAACGTGGCATGTTAAACCAACTAACTTCACTCGTTTAACCGACCGTTTGACTCTTCTTCTTCTTCTTCTTCTTCTTCTTCTTCTTCTTCTTCTTCTTCTTCTTCTTCTTCTTCTTCTTCTTCTTCTTCTTCTTCTTCTTCTTCTTCTTTAAATCCACTTTAAGCTAATCTGAAAACTTATTCTTCTTTAAGCCAATCTGAAAATCCACCATTCTCCCAACAAACTGCAAAATCCAAAACAAATGGCTAATCCCTCTGGTTTTCTCCTGGCCATTTCCTTACTCCTCCTCAGCACTACAACTCATATCATCGTCGTGTCTGCCTCCACTGCAAGCGGCGTGCACATCTTAAGCTGGGTATCGACGAAGATGACGAACGAGTAAAACAGTTGTTAGGCTCAACGACCCGAGTGCATGGCTAACAACATGGATGGTAGGTTAGAGTTCAATAGGAGCATATTACAAACGACGAACACACAATACATAAGCTACGAAGCTCTTTGGAGAGACATCGTGTCATGCTCTCATAGGGGAGCATCATATTATAATTGCCAACCGAGAGTGCAAGCTAACCCTTACAACTGAGGTTGTAGTTCCATCACTTGCTGTCGAGGTTAAAGGTTGTCTATCTCTGTCTCATGTTTCTTCGTTTGTAAAATGAAATAACAGTAGAAATAAATGGATATTCTCAGTTAGAGAGTATGAAGCTTGCCCTTCGTTTGTAAGAGGTTCATTCAAGAAAATCAACAAGAGAAGTTCCACTATAAAAGGAGTTGAATTCATTTTTTTACTGCTCTGGGTAAGATTATAATCATGATCGAGGACTTCAGAAAGGATCTTTCAGCGTCTTGGAGAGCCAAGCAATCCTGCAATATGCAGGTCTTTTATTCAAGATATTCCTGGGAAGGAATTTATGCACTTGGTAGGTTATTTGTTGTCATATTCTTCTTGAATTAACACTAAAAAAATTATTCTTCTTAACTTCTTGTGTTTATTAACACTAAAAAATGTTATTTGATTTTATTCTAGCTGAGGTTGTACTATGACATAAGAAGAAGAAGAAGGAGGAGGAGGAGAAGAAGAGTATTCAAATGGGTCAAATGTACTAAACCACCTAGCTTAATGTGTCACGTCAATATTTCGTTACTGTAGTAACGATGATTAACAACAAGTGATCGATTTGTAATAAATCAATAACATTAGTGACCAATTTGTTACTTTGAAATTTTAGTATAAAAAATGAAAACTTACTCAAACATTAGTGATCATTTGTGTAGTTTACCAAATATTTTTTATGGTGAGCACACATGTTAACAAAATAAATTTTTTAAATGTGGTGGACACAAATAAAATTTTAGGGCGAGCACCATCAACAAAATAAGTAACTAATAGAAAAAATTCAAATTTCAAGGTGAGCACCAAGTTGTGACTCCGTCACTGATTTTATACAATATACAATCACTCTAATTTCATCATAATTGTATTTAGTAATATGTATTCAGTTGACTAAATTTGCTACGACTGGCAGGAATAACGAGATAAGTAATTAAATTTCTTTAGTAATGTTAAGTGTTTGAATCTTGACGCTTAAAAATAGTACAAATTGAATTAGGAAACCTTCATATTAAGTCTCTACAATATTCAATTTAGATTAATTAATTAATAGATCTAATAACGTGTTTATAAAAAGAAGTTAAATGAAAACAATGGAACATTAAGCTATTGAAGTCATGAACCAATATGGGCCGGAGTGTTAGGATTTGGTTATGGTTACCAACAATATATTTCCTGCTTGCTACTTCTATTTTCCACCATATTCTTTCAATATGTTCATTAATTTACTACTGGCGCTAATATATAAAACTATCCCCTTTATGGTTTATTTTAACATTAGATGCAAAATTAAAACAAGAAATTCAATATTTCTCTATGTTAGTGTATAGGTGCAGGTGCTGGGAGGTTTCAGGTTGTTATGGGGTTGTTGTAATTCTATTATTGGATCGGTTAGCATTTCATGTGCTTTGTACACTGATTTGTATGCTATATAAAGCAGGGTTCTCATGTAATAAAATTCATTCTTTTCATGCTTCATCAGAAAGTTTTCTATTTCTCTAAACTCTAAGTTGTAAAGCTAATACTCTAAAACAAACTAAAATTTTGGTTTAAGGAAAACTAGATTAGATAATCATAATCTATGATTTTCGGATCTAATTATGATCCTTAGTGATTATGTTTTATGTTATTTCATGTGAGTTTGAAGTTTCAGAGTTAGATTCTAGTATTCGAAAGGGAAACACGGAGGTGTCATGAGCTTTTAGTTATGCATTGAAATTTGAATAAATCTGTCCATCTATAAGTATGGTATGTGATACGTCACAGAGCCTTAAAATTTGAGGGCACCACACTTTAAAAAAAATGTCATGACTTTGTTTTTAATAGCGTTCAAGGGTTGACACTTTTTAAATAAAATATCACGAGGATAATCACATGATCTAAGTTCCATGTGTAAGTAGAACTATTCTCTCACTCTATTTTGATTATTTGAGTTTCTAATAAGTAAATATTATGTTAGCGTTTCTATATTTTCAACATTTAAGCATGAATCATTTGTTTTTATCAACTCATTCAATGTTAATGTCAAGTATAGCATGTGATACGTCATATGATCTCACATATAAATATTATTTATGTTTTTCATGTATAAAATTTGTGTCTTAAATCTTAAACCAAAACATAATGATACTAATATACTGAGGACAGATACACTAAGTCCCTAAGAGGTCAAATGCATCCTATAATTTTGAAAAATAGTTAAATTTAATTTAATGCATTAAGGAAAAAAAAAATTACATAACCATTGTTTTTTTAAAAAATATTAAAATTTTCAAACTCATTCTTAAATTTCTAGATTATATACATATTTTTTATGCTAAACACACATCATTGTTAAAATAAAAACGTTACGTTTCAATTACTATCATGTATCGATATATTAAGTGCTAGTATAATCGTATCGTACAATTTTGTATATATAAAAAGCTTACACTGTTTATGCGCCGACACAAGAGGCATTCTTAGCACCATTAGTGTATTATTTTTCATAACAAAAGATTCAACATTGTGTCAATACACAACATTGAGTCGAGCTGAAGCTGAAGCTGAAGCTGGGGCTGGGCAGACATGGTTCTATGAAGTGAAAGTGCAGGTGCTATTAAATTTCCGGGTATGGTGTTTCTTGTCGTATTTGTTGTCGAGGAGTAATAAACACTCCGCTTGGTGATGGAACTTAGGCTTTAGAAGGTTGTATACAACTCGATAATTTGATCTCAGCTTCACATGAATCAGTAGCGGCAATCCCATTCCCGAATCTAGCAAGTCCTGCATGCTCCTCCCAGCACCATACATTGGTTTATTCCTTGTTCCAATGTAGACCTCAAATCTCGATGAACCCGAGCTTTGAGCATATAGCTTTGGTCCCTGCAATCCAAGTAATAGAAAAAGATAAGAAGAAAACAAAACACATGGGAATGGGTCATTGTCCAGTTGGTTACTTACGTGTGAGATAGCGAAAGGCAGACGGCCGAAGAATATATCGATTGTTGGAGGGTGGATATGGAGACCGAAGAGCTTTGATTTGTTTTCTACGACAAAGCGGATGGAACAGTTGCAGGTGAGAATCTTGGTCGAAACACCTGACCCATCTACTGCTTCTCCTAATCCGAACTCACCGACTCTTGCCACCTGCATTTTTTTGCAAGATTCCATGTTTTATTAGAGTTTGCTCTTCATTCAATTTGAGTTCACGGTTTTATTAAATCCTGCCCCTTGCAACCTGGGGCCTAAAGAAGGATCATTGGGCTTCATAGCATGGTTTTAGGTAGGGATTATCGTAGGTCGAATTAGGTAAAGTTTTTGATTTATCTTAACTCTATTAAAAAATTAAATCTCTTCACTCGCACTCGTCTTAACTCGAATTTAGGAAAAATCCACCCAATTCAATTTTTGAGATAAAAATATGTACATGACTCAATCTAAATCATTATATATATATATATATATATATATATATATAAAGAGAGAGGGGTAAAATAAGGGATAATTACTATTATCTCGGATCGAGTTAGATTTTTTTTACCTTAAATATCAACTTGATCCGATCCGATTCAATCCTTTAAGAAACAAAAACCAAACTTAATCCGAATTCAGATTTTTAAAAAATAACCGATTTAATCGAATCAAACTAAAACTTATTAAATTCAGATCAAATACTTATCCGTAATTCTAGGACAAGAAAATTACTCACAGCATGAATTGTGTTTGAGCTGTTGGGCCTGGTCCTTAAAGATCGAGGTATCAACGATGCATATGAGTAATTTTAGCAGCCCATCATCTGTGCTTTATTGGAAGCAAATTAACAAACAAATAAATAAAAAGAAGAAGAGATGCCTGCTGTCAAGGTGAGTTGAGTACCATAATTTGACCTTTTAAAGGATCCTATTAATCATAAATTTGCATATATACTCTCTTCTGATAATCAAAGACGAAATTAAGATCGAATTATAAGACATAAAATTGATAATTTCAAAAGAACAATGGCATATTAAGTATTTTAATCCAAAAATTGAGATAATCAATTCTTAATTCAATTGATGTTTAACTTGAGAGGGACCTTAGATGATATTAGACTAAAACTTTCAGGATCAACGTGGTTCCGTTCTGGCTGATAATGCGAGTTTCCTCCTTTTGGTCTTTTCATTTGAAACAAAAGGGCATTATAAACTATAATCTGTACATGCACTGCTCCGAAAGAGAGTCCGTACTTAAAACTTGAATTCAGTTCTACTTTAGCATACAATATCAGTGTTTTTCCCCCTTAGCAATTTATTAATCAATTAACAAATGCAATTATCTGAAAATAGTTCAGAAAAATATGGTAACTTCGAAGAAAAAAGAAGAGGAATAAGAGAGAGCAGTACACATACCTTAATAGAAATGTTAGGAGGTGGTGGTTTGGTAGCAATGTAGAAGACAAGCAATGCAAGCCCCAAGCTCAACACCAGCCTCCAACAAATTTGCAAAGAAATCCAAGCGCAAGAATTAGAGCTTCTAAAAGAACAATACCTCCACCACCACCCTTCTCTAGCTTCATCTTCATCTTCATCGTTTTGATTGTCACCGTGACCAACCTTGTCGATGATGATGAGACGGTTGAACCCTGCTTTGTGATCGGCAGCAGCAGCAGCGACAATGCTTTTGTCGTGCAAGAAGGAGTTGTTCGATCCACGAGAGGATGAGTAACGCGAAAGGGTGAAGCGAGCAACGTCGGGGTTCTTGTTGAGGATGTTTGATTCGGAAGGAGTCGGGGAGTGGAAATGGAGAGTAACGGCGGATTGGTCTTCGATGGCGGTCTTGCGGACGTCGGTGCTGTTTGCATGAGAGACGGTGGAAGGGCTTTGAACGTAGTATGCACATGGCCAGGAGTGGAACATCAAAGCTTCGTGGTCTTCATGATGACTGTAAGTTTCCATTGCCAGACTAGTAGAAGTGGGCATGGAAAATAGAGAGGAACGCACAAAGAAATGTATATTTATAATGTTTATCAGAGTATGGTCCGGGAATTAGTATTGGATTTATTCAATTATATATTTTTTATTTTATTTTTTTATAATGACAGTTGGATTTTATCAATAAAAATTATAGAAGGATTTAGAATTACAATACACCCAAATATATAAAGAGAAATGATAACAATAGTCACAAAAAAAACTCATATATAAAATATTAAATCCAAAGATACGAATAAATCAGTAACCTTCATAAGAACCCGTAGCATCTCACGAACAAGACACTTTACGAAGTGATTACATCAGCAAATAATAGTTTATAAAAAAAAGGATTTGTCTATACATGACCACTGACAAATCACACAGAGAACAAAAGTCGTGAGGGTCTTTGTGCGAGCACGAGCACATGACGACCACAAAGGTATGCAAATAACGTATCAAAAATCATAAAAAACGTGCTACAAGAGAAAAGAAAAAGTGTATCACAAGTGTCGGGAAAAAATATGTCACAAGAATATAGATTCTTATTCAAAATTGAAGAAAAAAAAACCTTAAGAAAAGAGGGAAAAAAGACATAATATAAAAAAGAGAGAAATAATAATCATCAATGGTCAATAACCAACGTTGAAATTAGTATCGTCATTGACTAAACAAAAATTAAAGAAAAATATAAAGACTGTTAAAAAATTGAGAGATAACCTAAATTATGGAGAAAGGGAGAAAAAACAAACAAGAAATTCTTTGTTGTATCAAAAGGTAATTTCATTTTTGGCTCCATTTTTAAAATGTAACCAATATATTAATTACATATTACATAAAATAATAAGGTTTAAAACTAAAATCTTATATCAAAATCAATTTCATAAATAATTTAATTATTTTTATCAATGGTTTAATTTAATTGTTAAAAATAATTAAATAATTAACTTGAGACTTTTAAAAATTATTGTTTAGATTTTAAGTTAGTGTTACTTTTTTAAAAAAAAAATTAATATTTAAAAATTAATATTATATCAATTAAATCTTATTATTAGAGATTTAAAATAGGTGGGATGAATTATGAATATGTATATCTATTGAATTATGAACATGTAGATTGAATTTTGAACTCATTTGGGTGGTGTTAATGATAAAAGTGTGTATTTGTTATCATTAGAGATATTGAAGTCGAGCAATTGAGTCTACAAAAATGTGTACATATTCAATAGTTAAGAGTGATTTTAGACATATACTACATTTTATACTTTTTAATTTTATAATTATTAATATTTCTAAATTTAAATTTATTTAATTATATAAGTATAATTTGTACTATCGAATATAATATAAAAAATTATACTATAATCAATTAATTAATTGTTGAGTGGTCAAGAATGCTTATATTATCTCATCTTGTGTTAATTCGAATTTTGACATTTATGATTTATCTAAATATAATACATCTCTGCCTAGTTAAAAAAAATCATACTATAATTACACTGTATCAAACAAACAAATTTGAAGAATTAAAATTCTTTATAATTACATTCGTATATCATTACTTGATTAATATTTAAATTTTTATACAATTATATAATAATATCTAAAAACACTGCAACTTTGAAACAAAGAGAAAATATTTTATGACAATACCGTGAATGTCAAAAAAATCTTTTTTTAAGGAAAAAAAATCACAGTTTCGTATTTTTAAAATATAATAAAGACTAAATTATTATTGTTTCACGTAAATTCAAAACACGACAAGTCAATATAATATTTTTTTTACAAAGTTACATAATTGTTTCAAAATTAAAGGGGTAGACTAAATTGGTCACTTTTACAATAGAAAAAACTAATTTATGCTTAAGCCCATAGTACAGGCACCAACATGGTAATTTAGGCGAGGCAATTACAGTAGATTTGCTTTTCTAAAGAAAAAAAAAATGAAATTAATAGGAGCATTAAAGGGGGAAAAAAGGATCCGAAAATGATTACACCCCACAAGAATATCTCAACTATAGCCGTACACAATTTGTTGCTTGGACCTCCTCAACATTCATATTCTTATTTCTTACTCTATTGCTTTTATATTATATATTAGGTTAAACTACTTATTTAAGTCATTTACTTATTTCCCTGTTGATTTAGTTATTAATTTTTTAAAATCATATCTAATATATGTTTCCTTTTTGTCGTGGTCCTTTGTTGTTAAACAAATTAACAATAATATTGGAGTGACATTTTTTTTTTAATTTTTTATATTGATATGTCATTTCTTAAATTATTTTTTAATTTTCACATAAGCAATTTGATGTTATTTTTAGATTAATTTTATTTGACAAATAAGATGATGACACGTGTCATCATCTTATGAAAAAAATTTGTAAGGATGGTTGGGCTCTATTACGGTGGCTAAGCGAATGACCTCTTCCAAGGGGATCAGGACTCAACTCCCATCATCCAGTAAATTCTATTATTCTAAGATGATGATATATGTCACCATCTTATTCGTCGAATATAATTAATTTAAAAAAATTATTAAATTATTGACATGAAAATTAAAAAAAGTAATTAAAAGTATTATATCAATATTGAAATATCACGTTAAAATCGCTATTAAATTTTATATAGGAGAAAAGTGAAAAAAGAAGAAGAAAAGATTAATTAATGATATACATTAAGATGGAAATTGGGTTGGCTTGAAAGGGATGGTGAATTGCTATACAAGCATAACTGGGTTGCCAATTTGCCTTACAAGATACAATATGATTACAATAATAGCGAGAATAAACATTACGAAAATAATTATCTAATGGCAATGGCGATGGGATCCGGGCAGCTTTCGCTTTTATCATACACTCCACTTCTCTGCTAGCTTCTCATTAGTATTTATTATTATTTTATTTTCTTCCTCATTTGACAGAAGAAAAAAGAAACTTTTTTATTTGACAGATCACCGACTTTACCCTGCAATAGCATGGCTTTGAAAATGAAGATGGGTGGAAGTGGACGTGGAATTATTACTGCACGTGCCTCACTCTCACATGATCCTACTGGGCTCTTTAATGTATATAAACACCCATATTTATTTATTTATTTATATATTCATATCTATATAGCCAATAAATAAAAGTTAACTCCATGCAATATGACTGCTGAACTTTGAATTGAAGGATTGATTTGGAGGATGGAGGGGGAAATGCCATTTAAGAATAGAGGTGAGTAAAATTTAGTTTGATTAAAATTTTATTTTTTTTAATTCATTTCAAATTGGAAAAATTTAACTCAAATAGACTCGATTTGTAATTTAATAAGTTCGACTCGACTCAAATAAAATTTAAATTTTGACCGAATTATATAACAAAGCTCAAATAATTCAAATTGGTACTATTAAGTGAATTGGTTTTTAAGTCTGCTCTTGTCTCTAACTCTACATGATATATATATCACGTATGAAAAAATATGAAGAAATATATGTGTAAATTGTATATAATTATAGAAACTTGTTTAAACTGAACTCAAATAGTATCACAACATTATAAATATTTATAATTAAATTTAAACAAAAACTCAAACAACTCGACTCAACTCAAATTTTATAAACTTGACTCGAAAAAAATTTCAAATAAAATTTAAGACATAAAATAATACTTGTTAACTCGAATAACTAAAGATTCTTTTTATTCTACTCGACTCGATCGAATATTCACTCCTATTTAAGGGTATAGTGAGAATTTGTTATAAAAGTTTTAAATATCAGTTATAAGAACTTTTATCTGTTTGTTTAATGATTAAATAAAAAATTATTTTACCAAATAAAATAGAATACAAAAATAATAAATTTGTCTCATTGAATATTAATTATTGAATTTAATATCTTTAATTCGATTAATCCATACTACTATATTAAAGTTGTTCTCATTAACTTGAATCTCAGTTTAATAAAATTATAATCACTTGCCTCCAAATAATTTACATCAAGAGTCACTAAACTTAACATCAACTTTCATATATATCATATGCTTTTACTTTTATTAAATTTAATCATTAATACTATGAACCTCGACTGTTCAGATAGTTTACCACCATACGCGGTCATACAAATAGATAGGTACTTGTAGGCTACACATAAAGGCATTCTTCTTATTGTATCTTCTAGTGTTCCCGGTTCGTGATTACCTTCTCGACGACGTCGTATCAATGGTCTACATTTTATTAAGCTTCGCTTACACCAATGCTTGTTGAGTGGAAGGCAGTTGATGCCCCTTAAGTAAAGTCTCGAGTTTAAGACGGCTTCTTCGTCTAGGGCGGTTACGGATTTACAAATTTGTTGCCCATCAATTTCGATTATTTGTTGACTGTTTTTTTTTCTGTAACACAGGAGGTAAATTGCAGTTCAGGTGTTACATTGTTGCAGCCTGTTTATAGAGTCGTCGTCACGTAATAGCACGTACTGCTGCTTCGTTTTCGGCTTCAACTGTGTTCTAATTCCACTATTACGGGTATGGGCTGAATCCGATGACCAAAAGGGATGATGGACTTGTAGGGACTATCAAATCATTGTTGGATCCTAACGAGAAAACAAAGTCTGGAAAAGTGTTACGAAAGGCTTATGTAAAGTCAGTTAAAGTAGTGAAGGCGCTCGCTGCAGGAGGATTCCAACAATCAGTATTGAATGACTTGAGCACAGCTGAAGAATGCTTTGTAGCATGGTGGGATGAGCCACATATACCGTGAGGCATAACAATTGAACAAGTGTCATAAAACAATTGTGAATTATATACATATATTTTATGCACCAATCGAAAAGTCATCATTTTCGATAACTTCATAATTTTTTTTAATAGGCTAAAGTAATAACAATGTTATATTTGTTTATAACTTTTTTTAATCATTAATAATATACACACTCTAAAAATATAACTACTTGAACTCAATACCTCAAGAGAAAATCACTCGAGAGACATCATTTTTTATACTTAATAATTATATATAAATATAGTTTATAAAGTTAATCAGTAAATCTTACACTTAAATAACTAAATAATAAAGCTATTAATAAATAGGTGTTAAACGTCAATTATTAAAAGAAAGGGTAGACTACATGTTTCGTATTCCAACTATCATTTTTATTCCGTTTTGGTCTTCCAACAATATTTTATTTCAAAATCATATGTAACATTACGTTTTGGTTGTCATCGACTTATCATAAGGTAATGACACGTTATTATTGAAAAAAATTTAAAAACTGTCATGTTAGCACTTTTGTTACTTTTTTAATGATGGTGACCAAAATGAAATTAAAACATAAATGTTAGATATGATTTAAAGAAACAATTTGATAATAAAAAAATGATAGTTCAAATACTAAACGTATAGTTTACCCTAAATAAAACTTGTGTTATAGTATATGTCAAAGACTTTCAATCATCTGACGTTGAACATTTATATATTTTTGTATTCGTAGAGCTCGAACTCAAAACCTTAAAGGATAAAAATAATTTCTTAACTCGATGAGTATATTAAATAAAAGGGTAAACTAAATATTTAATACCTAAACTATCGGTTTTAGTCCATTTTAGTAACTAAACTTTTATTTTTTTTCAAAATTGTACCTAATGTTTAGTTTTTGTTTCATTTTTAGTACCCGCCGTTAAAAACTTAATGGATGGGCTCACCGATCGTCGCATTCATCGGTCAATGAAGCCCAAACTTTCCAACCCACACCTTTTCGACCTCCTAAACGTCACCGAGAAATAACTCAGTCTCCCCAAATCGACGATGAACTCTTCAATTTCTTCATCCTTCGATCTTCATGATCCGCCATCTGATGAGCCTTAAACTGGACTATATTGGTCAACTCGTCATTCTCTCGTGGTACATCGTTCAGATCGATTGTCCTTCACCAAAGCTATGCCATGTTAGCTCCTCCATTAAGTTTTTACGACGGGGGATACTAAAATGAAACAAAAACTAAACGTTAGATATGATTTAAAAAAAATAAAAGTTTAGATATTGAAATTGATCAAAACGGATAGTTTATATACTAAACGTGTAGTTTACCCTAAATAAAAAATATCAATAAAAGGATTGAATCTTAATAAAAAGAAAAAGGCCGTTGGGCAAGCAAAAGCTTAAGCATCACATGACACGTAAAACAAAGCAATACCTTGTGAACAAGTAAACGTACAAATAATAAACTGAAATCCCCAACGGTCAGAAGAAATAATACATACTAAATAAGAAAGAAGAAATCCCAGCCCACCAACGTCACATAATAACGTTCACTTTAACTCACAGTAAACTCAGTTTACATTCTCATTCTCCGCCTTCTCTCCCACCTGGAAATCCCAAAATTCTTTTGATTCGCGTAATGGAACCAGCAAAAATCGACTGGAACAGAATAGACTCCCGCTTCACTGAGGACTACACTTATGAACACATCAACGCTCCTAAATGGGTTGATTTCTTGGCCCTTGATCAACAATCCATTGACGATGATGCCTGGTTCTGCACTCCCGGTACCATTTCCATTCTTTTTCTCCTCTCAATTCACTTCATTTCTTCACCATTCGAACTTTTTTTTTCCTGATCTTGGTATTATGCATTGCAGAGTGTAACCATCCCAGGACTGCGCAGGATTTTCTTCAAGCCTCGCCTCTTTCCAAGGCTCCACAACGATCGGTTACTGGAGGAGGAAGTCGAAGCTCCCCATTTCGCGAATTGAATCAAGGGTATTAAGCGGAACATAATTAGCTTTACGACATGTTTAATTTAATGTCATCATCTGAACTTCGCTTACTTTCTATTTTGGGGCATCATATTTTGTTTCAGAGACGCTAAACTGAAGAGAAGAGGGCAGACGCAAACCCAAATTCAATCAAAGATTGATGATAGTGAAAACCAGAACCCGAATTTGTCAATTCCTCCGACGAATCAGCAAGCCAAGTCTTTGAAAGCGGCAATCAAGTCGAGCAGTGAAAGAAAGAAACAGATGGCGAGGGTTGATATCTCCCAGTCCCCGAGTGATGAGATTCAACTGCTGAAAACTACTTTGTCTACTAGGAACTTGTTTGCTAGTAGGGATATTCTGAGTCATATAAGCGAGTTTTGCAACGAGCTGAAGAAATTGGCGACCAGGGCAAGGGAGAGAAAAACAGATGAAAGAATGGGTGAGGAGAAGATTCAAGCCGAAGAGGCTGTGGTGGAGAAAGAGAGGAAGCCATTGTTTGATCTGGGTCAAGAGAAAAGTGATGTGATGCAGAAAGAAAAGATTAAAAAGTAAGTTCGATCAAATTACTTATGGCTAAAGTTCAATCCAAAAAAAATGTTCTGGGTTGCTGAATTTGATTTTGATTCTGTATAGTGTGATAAGAAAAGATGGATTATGTTGTAGGAAAAATTGCAGAAGCAGAACACAGGAGGCAGATGCAGAGAACATGGCCCCTCCTCTGTCTCTTAATTTAGAGAATGTAAAGCAGAAAGAGAAAGAAGGGTTGCTGCAAATACGAACCAATCCACCTTCTCCACAGTGCTTTTCTGCCACCAAAACCGCTACGCCTTCTAAGGCTCCCAGATCCAGACTGATGGTATGTTTCTTTTGAAGGATTGTTTATCTTCTTGTATTTTATGAGGCTTACAATGTAATCCATTATGCATCAACAGGAGAGTGGGATCCTTCAAGAAGTGAAGCAAAACAAGGATATCAAAACAGGAAGCAGTGTCTCTACTTCTATTACTACCAATGCTAATGTTACGGATGGAAGACAAGCAAGAGCGTTGGATGTATTTTGGTTCCTCAAGCCTTGCACACTGTCCGAGTAAACAATTTGGTAAATCCAAATTAAGCTTTCATTCTTTGATTCGTATTACTGGGAACTTATCTGTTCAGCTCCATATTCAAAAGTGTTAGCTCCAACAGCTCTTTCTCTCTCCTGTATTAGCTATAGTTTCTTGATTCATTTGTTGTTGATAGATAAGAAACTATAATCGCTTCGTTTAATAATTGTATTGAAAACCCTTTTTCAGTGAATAAAAGCTAACCCTTGATTCTTCTTGCCGTTCTCTTTTTCTTTTTCTTTTTATTGTCTGCTGCAATATCAGTTTATTCAATGCCTCTAGGAAGCGTTAACATTTAACACTACTAATCTAGCATCTTCCCTGCTTATATTGGCTTTCCTGGAATTAAAAGCGTTATATCTCTCTTGGATCTATTCTGCAAATAGCACCTCCCGTGGTAATTCTCCATATATTAAGGTCTTCGAAGTTTCATATTCTCCGTTAGTGATTGTTACTGTTTTCAAATCTTATCACATACTAAATCTGTTATATGATGATTAGATTTACTCGTGAGCTACAAATAATCATCATCACTTTAGGCTTTGACAATCTGACGGTGAACAAACTCTACTCCACACGAAAAATAGATTTTTTTCGATTACACTCGACTCAAAAATACTCGACCCGAATTGACTTCGAGTTGTGATTTCATAAAGTTAACTCGACTCGAAAAAAATTCAAGTTCAAATCGAGTTATAAAATACAATTCGAATAACTCAAAGTAATTCGAAATTTTTTGACTCGACTAGACCAAATGCTCATTCCTACCTAACATCAGCGCTAAGGACACTTATATCAACTACATACAAAGTTGAAGAGAGAGATCCCTCTCTTTCTCAGACTCTTTCTCCAGTTCTGTTCATCTTCCTTTTCATATCTAATGAACCATCACATATAACTCTCCACTCAAATTAAAATGAAAAAATCACATCATCATAATCCGATTCTTGTCATTAACAAAAAAGTCATTGTAAATAATATACAAAGGATGGTAATGGTGATCTAAAGAAAATAGTATCTATCTATATATCTATTTGAACACTAGAAGAGAACTCTACTGACAATGTTAGCAACACATACATGCAGACAATTTCTCACATCATCTTTATCTATCTAATTTCCTCCTAGATAAGGTAAGGAATTAGGAGCAGGCAACGAAACGCAAACAAAAACTGCCATACTCTGCTAACACGCATACGACATGGATTACATAGCCAAAACCGCCTCTCTTACCTCTTGGCAGGCAATAATACAGTGCCTTTAAATTCTGGGGGCGCCCATTATTTATATAAATAAACGGGAAAGTAAAAGGCTTCTAAACCCTAATGTTTGAAGTGAGATTGATCAATAAAGTTCAAACAAGCATTCATTATAACATCAAAAACCCTAAACGTTGGGGGATCAAAGTTACAGATCTCACAAGCATAATAATATCCAAGAAGATTAGTATAAGAGTTCAACAAACGACGCTCGCCAATCACCATACGAATCTCTCAAAGGTATATACGAACTACCAAAAGAATGTTTTTGACTTTATTCCATGCTAGAAGAAGAGCCTTATCATATGTACATTGAACGAGACAACTGATGCTTGAAGTAGTAGGTTAGAACATAAGACAATCTAACCCTAATCTAAAGTCAAGTTGCAAAGCATACAATCCAAGATCCGAGACCACACGAGGCGTGCACGTGGGTAGAGCCTGTGGGTATACACACGCGACTCCCTTACCAGATCCTCCATGGTCTCCACGAAGAGATTCAAGCTTCTCACAGGTGGAACGTACAGAATCAAAGGCGCTGCAGAGAAAGCAATTGTGAATAACAGTTGCAACATCACGTCGGTTATATGTAATTCCAATGAAGCAGAGCCAAACTGATTTGAAATAACAAAGTTGCAGCAGACAGGTCTGTAGATGGCCCAGAGTGTTGAAAGCTTAATTTGCCGGTTTGGTTGAGAAAATTAGAGGGGGGGGGGGGAAGAAAGAAGGTCCTTTAAATTAATTGTTGTTGATGTGGAATATATATTATCACAAGTAATTAGATGAAACACGGAACAAAAGTGTGTAAAAGTAAATGGGAAAGATGCAAGGAAGATAAACAGCAACTTCCGGGAATATGAAGAAACCATAATAAAATATAGTTATAAATTCAATGAAGAGTCAATTGCTCTAAAAGTCATCGAATACTTTAATATTTTTTATTAATTTAATCATTCGTATTTAAAATTCATTGTTTTTAAGTAAACCTATTTGATTGATTGGTTAATCTGTTCATTTCCCCCTCATATTCTCTTGAGTTATGAATTCTAAACCAACACTTTCATTTCTTCCTTTAGAGTTCTCATTTTCCTCTTCTATGATTAGGATTAGATTTAGAATTTGTTAAAAAAGAAGTTACTATTTTTAAAATGCATAAACTAACTATGTAGTCATTTACTTGTTATCGCATTTCTGTTTTGACCATCCAATTATTATTTTATAAAAATTATATTTAATATTACGTTTCGTTTTTATTTTGGTCAAATACATAAGCACCTAAATTTGTTAGTAATGTGGGACTCGTCAAAGTCTTGGTTTTGACAGTTTCTGAAGATTATATGTTGTAGTTTATGAGTTATGAAAATGATACCTATTGTCCGAAACAATCCAAGCCTGAACGACTCATTCCAGAAATGCAGTACCATCGACCCTCAATTAATCCCGGGAGAGAGAATCGGAGAAGAGGAAATCGTTCTGACTCGTCCTCAACAAGTCAACAACACCACTCGGGCCCCCACAGTCTTCACAATCATTGTCACCGGTCATGTTGATGCAGTATGTTCTAACCCCATCGAGTCTAATGCGAAGATTTTATAAATCAGTACCGTTATACCTAACGTATGTTGTATGTGCCTCGATATTGATTGAGACTGCTCATACCACAATAATCTCAATTATCAATCTCCTATTCACTAACCTTATTCATCGGATTTTCATCAATTCCATTTAACGGTGAGACTGTTGATCGGATGCGTACCAATCATTATTCATCACATGTCATCCTATGATTCGTGCGCGTTAATAAATCAATTTATCCCATTAGTATGCACTGATGTCAGAAAAACTGTCGATGACAATGATAATAATAATAACGATCCTGTTGAAAATTGTCCAATATGAAAAAAAATTATGGCACAACCGACGACAACAATACAATAAAGTTAGTTCATATAAGGTCACCCGTGAGTAGAATGATTAATATTTTTTTTTCACTATAAATATCATGGTTTTCAGAATCGGATCGGTTAGCGAACCGGTCATGTTACCGGTTCACTGATTCAATCGGTCGAACCGGTCCGACCGGTCAGAAGAACCGGACGACGTCATAATTATTTAAAAAATTAAATAAAAATACCAAAAATATTTAATAAAAAAAATTATATCACAAGTTATATTCAAAGCAAGTCATAACATATATAAGTTAAAAACCATAAAATCAAGTGAAACAAAATGATTCAAATTAACTACAACATAATATTTAAGGTAAAACATATTAAATAATAAATATAATTATATAACTATAATAAAAAATAAATTTGGGGTTAAAAAATCATAACAAAATTATATAACTATAATTATATAACTATTCTTTCACTTCAATCAAGCTCGAATTTTAGGCTTCAATCGAGCTTCTAATTTTTTTTTTGAGTTCAAGCCTTTTTGAGTTCAAGTTTCAATATTATATTTCGAGTTTGAGTTGAACTTGATAATTTTTAGCTTGTGAGTTTGAGTTGGGTTGAGCTTACTTTTAAAGTTTTCAAATTCGAGTCGAGCTCAGCAATACTCGAGATCGACTTGGCTCGTTTAACAAACGACGTTGTTTGGTTTATTTTTTTATTATTTTAAAATCCCTATTTTCCCAGTTTTTTCTGATTTTCAGCCGGTCCGATTCGAACGGTTCAACGATTCTGGCCGGTTCACTAATAACGGTTCAACCGGTTTAGATTAAACCGAACTAAACAACGATTCCCGATTGAACCGGCCGATCCGGTCCGGTTTTCAAAATAGAGATAAATATAGATCTCAAAAATTTTAATACAAAAAATCTTATTTCTAGTCCTTTCAAGTATTTATCGAACAAAAATGTAGATACTTATAAAGATAAATTAGTTTAATATTATTTATATTATAATCAATTGTTTAAAATATCAATTGTTTCAATTTGAATTATATAAATACAAATTATTTAAATGAATTTAATTTATAAAATGAATGAGTTCATTTAAACATAAAAAGTAAAAAAAAAATTGAATATTAATCTATTTGATTAAAATAATATAAATTATTTAAAATACTATTGTTTAATTAAAATAATATAAAAATTATTAAATAAAAAATATGGATAACATTCGCACCTTCCCTCACCGGTCAAATAGAAAGCAGTCTCTCGTACACTTTGCTACGCTAGGCCAAGGCACGGGCAGCTAAAAGCGTCTTTGCCAAGACGTAGTCAACTGGACGCAGTATCTTACGTTACCCAAAAAATTATCATTTATATAATTAATTTTGTTTGGAAAATGTTTTCATAATTATATTTAAAAAGTATATTATTCAAATAAATTAGTATAACATCTTCACTAACCAAATGGCTACGATTAGTACAGTTAAACAAAAGAAAGCAACCATATGCAGCTTAAAAAGAAGAAGAAAACGGATATTAACTGAAAAAGATTTGTAATTTCCGTCTTAATGAATGTTCTGTTTCCTTGCCGAAGAATTCATTTTAAAACAAAAGCGATATACTACAACAACAAATAAAGCAGCTTCCACGTCTAATTCAATCCATTTTGCCGCTCCCCCCACCCATTTATCCTCTATGTCACAAGTAGAGATGCACAAAAGTCGGATTTCAATCCGATCCGGATCGGATAAAAACCGATCCAATTTTTTCCCCCAACCCAAAAACCAGATTTTAAAAAAATCGGATCGAAACCTAACCGGTTTGGAGGATCGGATAGTATAACCGGTGTAACCAATTTCGGTTTGTAAAAAAACCAGTTTTTAAAAAAAAACCGGATTTTTTTAGATAAAAATCCAATTTTTTTAAAAAACCA